GAGGGGGAGGATAACCTCCCTTGACCTGCTGGCCACACTCCTAATGCACCCCAGGATGCCATTGGCCTTCTTGGCAACAAGGGCACCCTGCTCATGGTCAGCTTGTCGTCCACCAGGACTCCCAGGTCCCTCTCAGCAGAGCTGCTTCCCAGCAGGTCAGCCCCCAGCCTGTACTGGTGCATGGGGTTCGACCTCCCCAGAATTTGAAAAGTATTTGAAGAATACTTTTCCAAGAACCAATAAAAACTACACAAAAAAGTTACAAATGAAGAAATGCCAAGTACTGCAATGACAAGCTGTTAAAAACTCACCAACCAAGACCTTGGCAGCTGGGTTGTCAACTCCAATAGCTTTCAGGATGGTTGCACCATCATTGGTCACTGTTACTGTGCTATCTCTCCCAGTACTTAAAAGAATCTTGTCCTACAAGATGAAAGATTTAGAATACTGCTTGAAAACGTACTGTAACTATTAAAACTAAATTAACAGGTATGACCACTGAGAACTTGCAGCTGTCTTACCATGCCTTTTGGCCCCAGAGTGCTCTTGACCAGGTCACCGATAGCAATGGCACCAACAAAGGATGACTAAAATGAAAGCAAATAGACCTTAGAGAACAATTTATTTCTACTTTAATACAAGAATTATACACTGGCCCATGACTTCCAAGCGGACATCTTAACCCAACCCTCTGCAGCCACACTTCTTTCAGCAGAGCCTGGTTCCAAGTTTCTGAACTGCTACATTTTGATAACCAAATCAAATATACTTAATTCTCACAGAAACCATAAAAGCCCGTCTCACAGCCAAAAGAAATGCCTTCCAATGAACACCAATCTTCTGAACCAAGGTACAGAGTTACTTAGTTTTTGAACAATTATGAGGAGTTTCTCTAATTGTTAGTATAAACACTCCTCCTTACCTTCTGTTCAAACTTGCAACAAGAAAAAACAGTAAGAGACGAAGTTCTACATCACCATAAGCTGAAAGTACATTTAACAGCAGAAGAGACAAAGTTTAATTACCCCAAGTATTACCAGTTTCTTAGAGAATTAAACTTACCAACCGAGCTGTTTCTGCCTTTTCTTCATCTGCACCTGCCTTGAAAATGTTCACAGGAGCAAGGGAAATGGATGCCTAAAACAGAGTTAACGTAAGAATGTTCCTTCAGTTTTAATAAAACAATGCATTTTAAAGACAACCCCCTGACACTAACAAGCTAAACAACGTTTTGTATTATTAAAATGATTTATTTCTATACTTCACTTGGTTTTGATAAAAGGTATATTCAAAGTAAATTCACCTTGGCTCTTTTCTTTAAAAAAAAAAAAAAAAAAAAAAAATCTATTTTGCTATCTCATAATCACGTGAAGAGATTACAAGAGCAACTGCAATCTGCTCCAAGAGACTTGCGTACCGTATTCTCCAGTAAGCCTTATGAGCCTGAAAGGTTACCAGTACCTCACCTCACGGCAATGTCTGTGTTGCTCTTCTGCCTGGCTAACCATCAGATCCAAACAACCACCAGTGGAACCTAAAACAATCTTGTTACCGAGCACACCGCGTCTTTAACACTTTGGTATTTGTGTTGAACCCTAGTATTTTTCTGCATTTCCATGCAAATTAATTACAGCAGTAACGGATACATGCCGTTAAAGACTAGCACTTGCAAAGAACTCAAGGCCTTAAATGAATCATAGAATGTTTTGGGTTGGAAGGGACCCCTAGAGGCCATCTAGTCCAACCCCCCCGCAGTGAGCAGGAACACCACTAACTAGATCAGGTTGCTCAGAGCCCCGTCCAACCCGGTCTTGAAATGAATTGGGATCCAATCCCGAAAGAACAAATGCATCAGCTCTCTTAAGCTCTCCCTGACTTTTTACTTTGCTGCGTGACCGGCACGCAGCTTTTCTACCAGCTCCCTCATCGCCTCGACCAGGAGGACGAGAAGGGTGCGGCAGGCACCTCCTCGCCGCGCGGGGCAGCGCTCAGCAGGT